GGCGGCGACGGGGCCGGGGCGCCTGGAGAGGGGGGCGCTGTGGCCGCCGCTGCCCGGGGCGCTCGGGGCGGGGAGGCGACGGGCGCAGGCGGAGCGGGCGGAGGTGGGGGCGGCGCGGCGGCGGCAGTCCCCCGGGGGCCGCGCGGAGGAACGGGCGGGGTGGCGCCCCGGCGCGGCGGCTGTACGCGCGCCGCGTTGCGGTACGAGATGCTCCCCTTGTAGCTGACCCGAAGCACGGCGCGCTGCTGGATCAGCTTCTCCAGCTCGGCGCGCGTGCGCTCCGGCTCCGGCCCGTGCCGCCGCCTCACCATCCGGCAGATGCGCTCCAGGTCCGGCCGCGCCTTGCGCGAGCGCAGCGAGTCGATGGTGTCCAGGATCCACTCCTGGTAGCGGGGAGACGAGGCGGACGACGAGGCGGCGGCGGCCGCCGCCGTGTCCGGCGGGGGCAGGGCCGGGGGCCCCGCCATGCCTCCCGCCCGGCCCGGCTGCACCGTGCGCGCCGCCTCCCTCCCAGCGCGGCGCCCCCCCTTCTCTCCGCTCTCCCCTCCCCTCTCAACCCCCGGCTCCCCTCCCTCTTTCCCTCAGCCGCCCGCCTCCTTCTCCTTCTCCTCCTCCTGCTGCTGCCGCCGCCGCCGCCGCCGCTGCCGCTGCCGCCGCTGCTCTTCCCCCTCCCCCCGGGGGGCGCAGCGCCTCGGTGGAGCGGCGGAGGCGCTGCTGTTTCTTTGCAAAAAGAAAAAAAAAGAAAGAAAAGAAAGAAAAGAAAAAATGCACAGACAGAGACACACGCACACTCACACAAAAACCCCGCTCCTCCTGGGCGCGCGCGGGTCCCGAGGATGGGAGGAGGGGGAAGCGCGAGCCGAGCCCCTCCCCGCCGCCACCGCCACAGCCGCTGCCGCACGCGCCGCCCGCCCCGCGGCCGGGACACTCCGGCCCCCCTTCTCAGCTATCCACCCACCCACCCCTACGCGCTGGCTTTTAAGGTGGAGCCGGGGCCCCCGCTTAGCGCGCGCGACTCTACCCCCCCCCCGCTCCGGCGCCTCTCTTGCTCAGTCCCTTCCTAGCCTCAACCCCCCCCACCCCCCCAAGCCCTTTACAACTCCCGCGCGCTTTTTAAGGAGGCGCCGCGGAGTTGGCGCCGGGGCGGAGGCGGGGATGGGGGGGGAGAGAGAGAGAGGGAGAAAAAGAGAGAGAAGGAGAAAGAGAGAGACAGGGAGAGAAGGAGAGGGAGCGCGCAAGGGGAGGGGGGAGGGGAGTGGGCGGGCTGGGCGGTGGCGCTCTCCCTCCAGCCATTGGGCGCGGAACCCAGACGTCCCCGCCGCCCAGCCCCCCCCCCCCCTCTGCCCCCCCCATTCCCCCTCCCCCCTCCCCCCCCCCCCCGCCATTGCCGCCCAGCGCTCCAGGCTCAGGACCGCACTTACCACCAACTCGGGGACTGGCGGAGCCAGGCGTCCCGCTTTCTCCGCCGCACTGCTTGGGCTGCGCTGAGAAATCGGGGGCCGCGACGCCCGAACCTCTCCTTTGCCCGCTCGCCCCTGTCCCCCGCGCCCGCCGGTGGCACCAACTCTGGACACCGAGGGAGGGAGGATTCGCCCCCCTTCCCCCGCCCAGTCTGCCTTGGCGTCGCTCCCCCGGCAGCGCTGGAGCCGCCTCTCCGACAGCCGCACCGTGGATCGCGGAGCGAGGGAGGCGGCGGCGTGGCGTAGCGCTTAGAGCTCAGGACGTGCACTCGGAGGGACCCCCTGGGTTCCGTCCCTGCTCTGCCACGTACGTGCTGGGTGTGTGCCCTTTGGCATGTCACCTTTGGGGGCTGTTTTCTCCCCCACCCCCCAATAAAGGGAGGTTGGAGAGGTAGCGTCTTGTCATGGAAAAAATGCCTAATCAAGACTTGAACCTAAGTGCAATTTCCAGCTCTGCCCCTCTCACTCAGAGACCTAGGACAAGTCATTTCTGCCCTAGAGACCTTGTTCGCTGACTGGTCCACCAGTGGGGGTTGGATTACAGAAGCTCTTTAAGTCCCTTACATCCCCAGAGCCTATGATCTAGTTCTAGCCCTAACGCTATTCGGTGAGGCTGAAGCTTGCTTCCTCCACTGGGGGGAGAAACCACACCGGGAGCAGGTTTTAAAGGTCATTCTTCTCTCCCCCCCCCCTTCAGTTCTCTGCTCAGAGAAGGATATTCAAGGCAAAACCACCTTGCAGCACAGAAAGGGCCTACCCTGAGGAAAGGACTAGAGCCAGGCAGGGCCATTCCACGTCCCCACCTTGACTTGGAATTCCAAGGCAGTTTTTCCTTCACTGTTTCTGGGGTGGCAGAGGGTGTGCAAGTGGGTAGGGGGTCAGGAATGAGAGGTTTTTTTTTTAAACAAAACTTTATTGGTAATAGTTTTCAAATATGTTTACAACAAAGCACACCGTTAAAGAGGAAGTCATTTCCGTGAAACAAATTTCTTCGAATCACACAGGTTGAAACTCCCAGGTACCCCCCACCCTCACCCCTACCCCAGGCCTATGAACTCCTTCAGGGATGGAGGAAAATTGAGAGAGGGACAAAAAAAGAGAAAGGGGGTGGAGAGAAGTGGGCTACTCTACCCCCAGCTACTTGGGGGGGGGTTATAATTCAGATGCCTCACAAGGGGTCAGTGGGTAGCTGTCAGACAAGCCAGATGGAGGGTGCTTCCAGGGATGGGGGATGGTGGTGAGGCTATCAGGTGAATAAAAATTGGCATTCCCATGGCAAAAGGAAGCTCTCTACCTTGAAGCTGTGGTACTTCCTGTTTCCTTTCTCCCAGTCCCCCTCCCAGGGTGGGCTACATCCTTCAACTTGCTTTTAGGGAGTGACACTCCCAGACAGAATAGGAAATTAGTGGCTGTGTATTAAAAATCTATAGGTATGAATGGCTAAAATGAAGGAGGTGTGACCCAGGGGTATCTGGGAAGCCTCTTTGGCAGGGATCACGAGCCAGGCTGCCTGGGTGGGTTGGGAAATTTTTTTTCTAGTGCCCCAAGTGAGCAAAAACTGGGGAGCAGAGATGATGTGGGGGTAAAGAGAGCTGATCATGAGGAAGGGAGACCAACTGGGAGTTGGGGGGGGTGCTGAAAGAGGCCAGGGCTCTTTCAAACTTGGCAGGATACCCCTCAAGGGGATCTCACAATTGTTCCCACAACTCCCTGGTTGAGATCAGCAGCAAAAAATCCCCATCCCCAAGTCACAGACCCATCTCAAAACCATCGGCTAAGATCCCAGAGGTTAAAAGCTCCATAGCTTTTGACCTAGGCAGGTCCAGACACATTAAAATGTATTTGGGACAACTAGGAAAGGTGGGAAGGAGTTAGGACAGAAGGCAAATATAACTTAAATAATATTTTTAAAAAATTTTAAATATAAAGGAGCCATGAAAATTTTACTAAAACTTCTTCCCAGGCAGGGTCTCTCCTTGTGGGGAACTGGTTTGTCTGTCCTTTTACCCCTAGATAAGGTTCTGAAGTTCCAGGGAGAGGTCAGGAAAAGGACAAATAATGGGCAACTGTGCTAGTTTTGGGAATTGGAGGTTTTCCAATTTGGGATCCCTGGCTCCCCTGCCCCAACTTCCCAGCACCAAGGGGGTCAATAAGAAGCTACAAAAACAAAGGCTTGGCTCTAGGTACTATTATCCCACTCTGAGTGGGGGGCTGGGCTGGAAAGAAACAGGATTTCTGGTGGTGTTAGAGGGGGAAGGTTCAGGTCTGTTTGGGCTGGAAAACTGATATAAAACTTGTAAGGAGTTAGGCAAAGAGCAGAGGGAACCCAGCCATGGGGTCTACCAGCTGGAGTGAGACAGTGAGGAAAAAGCCAGTGGGGGTTAGGGATGGGAGGGAAAGGGGGGGGACCATCTGATATCTGAACCTCCGTTTCCCCATCCTGCAAACATCTCTGCTTTCAGATCTCCCTAGGGAAAAATTAATATGCAAGGAACTCTGGGGCCCTCAGGCTCTTCAATCCACCCTTCCCACCCCCACGCTCCCCAAAAGAAAACCACCAGGACCCAGGGCCACCATTAGAACTCAGCAAACTCCTTGACGCACTTCTCGTTGATGGAGATCCGGAGCTCCTCCTCCTCATAATCATCAAAATTACTTGTGTCACCTGGGCCTTTGCACTTTGGTATAAAAGGAGCTTCCACCTGTCGAGGAGTGAGAGAATCTTAGAGGTGAAGGGCCCCCAGCCCACCCTGTACCCCCATGTCACACATGAAGAAACTAAAGCCCTAAGAAGGAAGTGACCTGGTTGATGACCTAGACCTAGATGTTTCAGTAAATCGGGATTTGTTCTGTGAAGTGTAGATTCGTTCAAAGAGCTGCACTTGAGGACCTAGAGGGCCCCATGTGACCTGGAGGCCCTGAATAGAGCATCAGTGGCACAGCCTGCTGTAGAAGCAGATCTCTAGGCTGCTGGCTTAATTCTCTTTCCAGCACCACACCATACCTCTAGGACAAGGGAAAGAACATGACCCGAAAAGGAACGGGGGTGGGGTGGTACCCACTTCCTTCACCCCCCCACCCCCCCACCCCCCCTGAAGAGAACCTGAGGGCATTGCCCCAGGCCTCCCTGGGCAGAGCATGAAGGGTCAGGGACAGGAGAAAATGAAGGCATCATCTAGCCCAAAGTCATTTTACAAAGAGGGAAACATGTGCAGGGAAGTGGCTCCAGAGGTGAGTGACAGAGCCAGGAGCTGGTCATATTCTCAGATACCAGCCCCCTCCTCATCCTTCCCCCACCCCCCAGGCCCGTCAAGGGACCCCACCTTCCTCTGGTAGATGGCAATCCAGTCGGTGGTGGAGAACCATTTGTGGTTCTTGATGTCGTTGACACCATTCTTGAGGTTCCCGTAGCGCTTGGTGAGGTCCACTTGGAGCAGGTTCCGAAGCAGGTCCTTTAGGTCGGAGCTGAAGTGAGAAGGGAATCGAACCTGGAAGGACAAGGAAAGCGTGCTGACAACACAAACACTTCAGGTTCTCCCTTCCAAGGCCTCAGACCGTTAGTGTTTCTAGTCTGTATGATCACTTCCTGCTGTGTGCATATCCAAATCCTACCATCCATCACATCCCAACATTATTTCAGCCTTTCCTTCCCTTCATTTATTAAATGAAAGAACTCGACTAAAGTTCCTTATACATGCAAGGCATTGTGCTAGGCCTTGGGGAATCTAAAGACAAAAATGGCTCAGTTTCTGCCCTTAAAGAATCTGTATCCATTGGAATGTGAGTTCCTGGAGGTTGAGGCCCTGTCTTTGCCTTTCTTTGTGCCCTCAGGGCTCAGCACACAGCATGGTACACAGAAAGGTATTAATAAATACATGTTGATGATGAGGATACTACCTAGGGGATACAATGTTTAAACAATGACTACAAAGTTTATACATAGTAATAAAAACAATTTCAAAAAGGAAAGAGTGTTATTAGCTGGGAAGGAATCAGAAAAAGTCTACTGTAGCAATGGTTCAGTGGAGGTTTTTTGGAGATGGAGGTAAGGAGGCAGCTCACGCTAGATGTGGGGTACAGGCTATGCAAAGGCAGAGTCAGAAATGGCACAGGAGGGGCGGAGAATGGCTAAGGGTCAGTTTCAGTGGAGAGTGTATCCAGAAGAGTAAAAGGAAATAAGACTGGAAAGGTAAATAGGGTGCAAATTCTGAATGGTTTTAAATGTTAGACTGAGGGACTTTGTTTCTGAACCAAGAGGCAAATAGTAGCCATTCAAAGTTGGGGGGGGGTGGACGGATGTGATCAGATCTGTGTTTTAGGAAAATCAATTTGGTGTGTGTGGAAAGGCAAGGCTGGAGGCAGGAGATCAGTTAGGAAGCAAGAGCCTGAACTAGTGCAGAGGCTATCAGAATATGTAAAAGGGGGATTGATGTGAGTGAGAGAGGGGTCCAAGGGAAGACTGAAGAGGGTTGGGAACTGATTAAATATGGGGCTCTGTGGGAAACATAAGTCAGTAACGGCTCCAAGACTGCAAACCAGAGTGACTGCAAGAATGGTGCTACCATCAATAGAAATGAGGAAATCGGCTTTGTTTTTTAATGTTTATTTTCAGCTCCAAATTCTCTTTCTCCACCCCCACCCCGAACTGAGAAACAACTATGAAAGAAGGGAGGATGGTTTTTATTTTTTGTTTTTTTTGGTGGAGGGAGTAGAAAACAAAGAATTCTGTTTTTCCCATGTTAAGCTTGAGATACAATCAGTAAATGGTAACTAAATCTTCTAGTTCTGGTACTATGCTCTAGTCTTCCTCTTTCACACAATTGTTTAGTGCATGTTAGCTAATGACATCTTTCATACTGTTGTACTGAACTATGATCACTTGGAAAGAGCTGGACTGACAGTGCACATATGTTGACTCCCCAACTATGTAGATGGAGTGAGCCTTATTCATCCTTGTTCCTTCACAGTGCTTAGTGCAGAGCCTTAGACATTACAGAAATCAGTAAGTGCCTGTTGGGCACCTTTTTGATTAATAAGAATTCTCTACCTGGCAGTCAAGTGAGTACCCTTTGATGACTCTCACAATATATAATCCAGGACAAAGCATCACTTTACTGAGTTATTCTGTGGGATAGGAAGGCTAGGTAGTCCACAGAAATATCTTTCCTGAGACCCCAAAAAAGCCTAAAAAAAGTAATGCTTTAAGCTGTCAGCCTAGACCCAGAGGTCTCACCTTCCCAGAGACAATCTTTTCATATATCTGGATGGGCTGGTCAGCAAAGAAGGGGGGGTAGCCTGCTGCCATCTCATAGATCAGGACGCCTAGGGCCCACCAGTCCACAGCCTTGTTATAGCCCTGGAGAGAGAAAGTAAAGGTCAGGATGGAGGAGAGAAGGGTCAGGGAATTAGAGGAAGAAGGGATCACGAGAAAAGGGCTTTTTCTAGGTTAGGGTGAGGACTGAGAGAGTAAAAGACAAGCCTCATATTGGTCTTATGAAAGAAGGGAGAGTCAACTGTCAGAGGAGCTCACCTTGCTAAGGATGATCTCAGGAGCCAGGTACTCAGGAGTCCCACATAAGGTCCAGGTTCGGCCTTTCACACGCTTGGCAAAACCAAAATCTGTCACCTATGGCCAGAAGAAGTGTATGCTATCACACCCTGGCTAAGAAAGCACAGGAAGGGGCAAGCAGGTGTGTGTGTGTGTGTGTGCGCGCGCGCGCACGCGCACTCAGGCAGGAAATTGCTGGAATTCTACTCTGCAGTGGTTTGCCACCTCTGTCTTGGGGAGTACCTGGATATAGCCCTGTTGGTCAATGAGAAGATTCTCAGGCTTCAGGTCTCGGTAGATCAGGTCCAGTGAGTGAAGGTATTCAAAGGTCAGGACAATCTGAGCTGCGTAAAAGCGAGCATGGGGCTCACTGGTGGAAGGAAAGGGAAAGAAAGGAAGGATGAGTTACTGCAGGTTCATGGGGAGAGGAAAGCTTACAAAGAACCAGCCCATCTCCCTAAACTCTGGTCATCCTCTGACCAACATGTCTTTAGCAACCTTCCCCTACTTCCTATTAGACATCAGGCTCCGTGCTGCTTATTCACCATTTGCAACACCATAGATCAGGAAGTCCATTCCCTGATTGCAGGAGGCTATGAGCTGGCCCGGAAAATGCCTTCACAAGCTGCTCACCTGAACCTTCCGATCCGCCGTAGGTGGGAGAACATTTCCCCACCTGGGACATACTCCATCACCATGTACAGGTTTGTGTTGTCCTATGAAGAAAAGACATCCTTTTCCACCCTCATTCATAGCACTGCCTCCACCCTCACCAGAAGCCTGGCACTCTCCTTCCTCTTGAAAGTCTGGGAGGCCAAGCTCACCCCCAGGTTCTCCTGCCTCTTCATCAACACACTACTTCCTCCTGCCCACACCTCCCGCAGTGGCATGAATCAAGTTAAATGTTCACATGTGGCCCCACTGCAAAGGCTTCAGAGAAAACTTTTGGTGAATGTAGCTGGATCCTAATCGGCCCAATTTATATTCACTGCAAAAGTATGAAATGGAGCAGTATGCTACTATCTGGGGAAGGGGTATGGCCTCCCCACTGCTGCCACCCCTGCCCTCTGGCTGGCCAAGGCCAGGGCTGTCTGGGATACCTTGAAGGAATATTCTAGTAGGACGAGGAATGGGAAGTTGATGGCCTGCAGGATGCGCTTCTCATTCATGGTGTGCTCAATTTGTTTCAGCTTCACCACCTGTGAAAAAGTGAAGAGGAAATGGCAGCTCAGAGATGATATATGATTTGCCCAATGCAATCCGGGGAAGCTCCAGGGCAGGGCCCCACTGACTCCAAAGAGTTTTCCATTACACCAAGTTGCCCTTTCACACCTCTGTTTTCCGGGCCCATTTAGGTACATCCTCTACTCCCCTCCAAATCCAGGGCCTGCCTCCAAGCTTTCTTCTTAGCTCATCACTTGGGAGATGCCAGGAATTTGGGCCAAGAGCAGCTCTTTCCCCATATCCCCAGGATAAGGAAGAGACAGAGAAGCAGAGAGAGTGCATGTGTGTGTTTATGTGCAGAACGAGGAATGGGTCCATGAAGTACATGGCACTAGAGTGCTGGGGATCTGAAGCCAATGCTCACCTTCTGTTTATCAAGGACTTTCATGGCAAAGTACTTCCCAGATTCCTTGTGCTTCACAAGTATCACTCGACCAAAGGAGCCAGTGCCTAGAGTCTTGATTCTTTCAAAGTGATCCAGCTGGACTGTACTCTGCTGAATAAAGAGATGAGTAAGTCCGTCTCTCCTTCAGCCTCCACAGGCACCCACCACTGTCCCTTTTCCTTCTCCCCTATCCAGTTTGGGGCAGGCAAGTGTCAGGACTGAAGGTGCTAGGATCTTTTTGTATCATAAGAGGGGGGCCTTATCAGGACAGAAGGAAGGGGGCCGGGGAAGATGGCAGGTGAAGATATGTTCCTGAGGTTTATGGTAGGGGGTGGGTAGAGGCCTGGCATGGGGCCTAGGAGCTCCTGGCAGCTGCTACAGGAGCAGCTGGGGCTGGGATGAACCCTGTGGCTCAGAGACTGGGGGGGGGGTGTTGGTGGGGGATGGTGGGGAACACAGAGATAGATATCTCCTCAGGGTGATAGCATGGTGGCCAATGAAAGAACCTGTATGGAGGTTTTGGGGTTAGATGGATATAGGTTAGATGGAACACTTTGAGAAGGGGGGCCCCAGTGCTCCCAGCACCAGCCCTTTCCCCCACCCCTGGGCTCAGGTCCAAAACTTGAAGTACCTGAGGTGGACTTTCCCATTTCTTGAGGAATTCTTCTTTGGCTTTAGCTAGAAACTCTTTCACTGAAAGGCAGGGAGAGCACAAATTAGAGGCTTCAAGAAACAGGCAAAGGAGCAGAGGGGCTCAGAGAGACTCTGGGAAGAGTCCCTAAGATGCTGTCAAGGAAATGCAACAAGTCACCAAGAGTTGACTAAATACCTTCAAAGTACTAGGCCCTGTGTCAGATACTGAGGATCTGGATAGTGGCAGAAAACAGTGCCTGCCCTCACAGAACTTATTTCACATGCATTCTCTTATTTGATCATCCTAACAACACTGCAGATGTTACAGCTTTGAAGGGATACTGAGCCTCCGGGAGGGTGGGGTGGAAAAAGCTAACACTAGGCTCTGACCCTGTGACTCCTGGGGGGGGGTGGCTGACGCAGGGCCTAGTACTTTGAAGGTATTTAGTCAACTCTTGGTGACTTGT